ATTGCGCCATTTTATTAGCTAACATAATGTTGTTTCCATAGTTTTTCATACATGTATGAAGCAGAGTTTGCTCAAACTGAAGGAAACACTGGCTGTGGTCTTCGACTCGAAATTAAGATATCGAGAATGTATCGTCAATTAACAATGGTCATTTCTATCTTATGTCTATACGATATATTACATGTACGAAGAACTGAAACAAAAGACACTACGAAGTCTGAAACATCTGTTTCATATTACGATATTAAACTAGAAAAAGACGTAAATGGTTTTTAAACAACGATGCTTTAAATGGTATTTAAACAACGATGCTTTATGATTTTGATGACTTACTGTTCAATTGTCAACGTCCAAGGGTTTCTCAGTCCATAATAGCACCTGATCTCACCTCCGATGATTACACTGTCCGCGTTCTGTTCCTCAATAATTTTTATTGTTTAATAGATTTTGTTAGCGTGGACTCAGCTAAATGAAATGAAACGTGGATGAAATATTGAGCATACATTTTTAGTACACACTTTAGATTACCCTGAATGTTTGCAACGGTTTCCCTTTTTTGAGATTTATGTGATTTTAATACTAAATGTGTTTAGTTAAGGGATCACTGTCTAGTTAGTATGGTATGCCAGGGCATCAACGATAGCGGTTAACATGGGATAATTTGCGAAATGGACGAAGCCCGTTATGCATAAATTATCTCATATATCCCACTATCGTTGATGTTCCTGACATTCTAAACTAACTATACAGTGATTCCTTATTTTTCCATTTCTTTTCTAAATAAAATTGTAGATAGAAATTAAAAAATGTAGACATAGATCTAAATTATATGAGCACTTCCATGCCAGTTTTAATAGTCCTCGCCCACTGACGTCAAACACAAATGCAGACGCACGAGATTTGCATGCATACTTGGCCTCCTTAGCGTCAGATAAAGAGACAGATGCGAATGAGTTCTGCATGCATATTTGGCCTCCTTAGCTCCTGACCTATCGACATGCCTAATTTACATTCCGTTAGAATCATCAAGACATCAACTCCGTTAACTTTCAAAGGTATCACATAAAAAAATAGAAATGGAAATATTTACATGAGTGATCCAAATATTATCACAGTCTTTGATTTAGTATACGCAGTTAACTTAAGAAGAAAACTTAAGGCCGATCGATATTCAATTTTCCCAACTTTTAAAACTTGGATTGCGGGTAAGAATGTTATTGTTATAGATATTGGAAACATTAAGTAAATCAATCGCAGATGAATAAAAAAATAGACTATCAATCATAAGTCCCCATTAAAATTGCCTGCTTTTGATGCTACGATGACTATAGTGAAAGAAAAGGTTAATAGAATGTTCCCCTTGACTGGACAATTACGAATAAAGCTGATTAAAATTTATCTCATATCACATTGGGTGGAATCAGGGAAGTTTTTTTTAAAATCAAAATGGTACAAAATAGAGTATTTTTTAATGTGGTTCAGAGAACATTGTCTGAAATCGTATTTAAATGGCTGTATTTTAACAATAAAGATAATATTAAAGATTCTTCTTTCTGTTAATTTCCCAAAAGAAAATTGTCAATTTATTTTTATATGAAAAAATTAAATCAACAATAATAAATATAATTAAGTCTACACATTTCACATGGACTTAAAAAAGACCTGCTCATAATTTGTTTTTTTTTTTTTTAGAAAATTTTGGTAACTAGATTTCCACGATATACTGTAAACCAACTTTTATTCGCGTGCGAGAATTTTTCGCAAGGTTCGCGAGAGCCTCTTCATAGCGAATATTTCTCCCGTTCCTGTTTTTTTTTAGAGTACAACAAAATATGACGGGTACAAAGTATTTATATAAAGATAAAATAAGAAAAATGGAAATATAAAAATTGTCAAATTTCCATGTTTAAAATTTCAAGAGCGTATTTTTATTACTTTTCTTTTATAACATTTTATTACCCCTTTCTTTAACAGCTTCAATTTATCATTACGTCAAAAGACACTGAATGTCAAACTACCTGTCAGTTAAAAAATCGCTTGAAAATTCAGCTATATAGAATTGTAATTACATATACAAACCTTAGGTTTATATTCTTAAGTTTGTGTAATTTTATTTTTTAAGTTGAAAGGGATGCTTCAAAAGAGTAAATACGCTTCATTTTATTATGATGCGCGAAATATTGCGCAATGAAAACCGCAGTCGGTCCCCTTAAAACGTCTGATGGCTTTTTTATTTCCTTGTCAAGGACTGTTTGGTAGTTGGTGGTGTCCCCAACTAAAAAATTTATGGCTGTTCCCTCTAAACTGAAGTTACTTCATATGGGCCTGAATCAAGGTTATTGTGATATTAAATGTAATGATTACCATTAATTGAACAGGAACTAAAGCAAAATGATGTGAAATTCCAAAAATAAAATGCATTATATGTAATGGTACCATACTTTCTGAAACCCAGAATAATGATTTCTATACAAAACACTTTATTTATAAACCTATTTTAAATGAATTATAAATGTACTTGAAAATTATTGTTTGCATTCAACATTCCTTCAAAAGATTGAAGTGAATACTAAAAGTTATTAAACCTTTCCGAGGAAACATTCTGTGTCAATCTATTTACTACACTTTTTATTCTTTTGAAATTTTAAAATTCACATTGAATTTTTCATACTTATTCTAAATAGCATTCCATTTCAAAGAAAACTTTAAAGTTTTTAAAAATCGTTTTTAAAAAAGATTCTGGTATGAGTGATAAATATATATAAACTTTAAGCTGATAATTGTCATATTTTGAGTGTCATCAAATACACAGTCAACACTCTACCAGTGCGTATCATTACCCCTGCATTTTCGAAATTTTCTTTACCGCTACATAATCATTACCGCTATACAAATCGTTACATGTACAAATGTACAGATTGATGTAATAAACAACATACTGTAAACCAACTTTTATTCGCGTGTGAGAATTTTTCGCGAGTTTCACGAGAGCCTCGTCATCGCGAATATTTCTCGCCGCGAACGGGTCCTAAAAGTATCTTTTTCCACTAAAACAGTTCCAGAAAGGCTTGATCGCGAAAATAAATCGTTGCGATCTAGTTTACACTCGGTAAATCGCGAAATAAAGTTATCGCAAATAAAAGTTGGTTTACAGTATACATGCATAAAACCTGTTTCCCCTACTTACTACGAGGAGTTGAAAGAAGGGCTCTGAACATATTGTTTTTAATATTTATTGAAATTCATTTAATGTTATACGTAAAACACATTTAAAAATAAGTCAAACCATAGATAAAACCCACAGTCTTCAAACTTTCTTAACACAGTCGTTTAAGCTATGAATGCCGTAAGTTTGACATAAAACATTTAAAGCAGTGATACAATTGTTTACAAAAAAATGTTAGGATGAGAACTGTGTTTGGAACTCATAATGCGTACTATACCTGGCTGATTCGATACGTAGGGTAAAATTATAAGTCGTTTTTGGCCCAACAAATTGCAGTAATGAGTTAAAATTGTTGGCGATGTATCGGTAATGTTAGCCTCCCGCCTCTACAGGGTTATCTACAAATTAATTCGATCGTGTAGTGTTCAGAAAAGTGTTCAAAAGAGCCCCTTTCTTTTAACTGTGTTTGCATAACCATAAATTAAGCTGGTCTAGTTTACGGTGACCCTGACTTACTGATTGTACATGTACCATAAAGGAATTTTTAAAAAAGGGCATTATACAAGGTTATCTAACAATTCGATCGTGTATTGTTCAAAGAAGTGTTTAAAAAAGCCCCTTTATTCTAATTGTGTTTATTTAGAATATAACCTACTTTTGTTTCTTCATGGTGAAGAATTCTTCTATATCTGAAATATTTAACGATGTTTGATTTGTTCACTTCACAGTTATATGGGCGTGTTTTTATTGGTTTTTGTTGAGCACACAAAAAGAGACTATTCAAAACCCATGTGCTGTTTCCGTTAATATTTAAACTTTCTGGGTCGTGTTACACTTTTTTATATACACTGTAATCTTTTATAGCCTTTCTGAATATTATTTTTTTCACATTTCGGTACATACAGAAAATAAAACCATCGTCATGTATATCAGTGACAAACCTTGTCTTTGAAGACGGATTTTAGTCACATTTTTTATCGTATTTTTATATAACACTAGACGGCGATGCCTACTCCTGCTGACAAGGGCCTCGTCATCTTAACACAATTATTTTTTTTTAATATATAGATATTAAGATTCTTGATACAAGAATATTCATTTACCCACTAGCTTTAACACCTTCACCATACCATTTCCCCAGTAAATCAACCTATTTCATTTAATCCCATGTTAACCTGAATGGGTTTTGGTCCATTCTGAAACAGTGTGTGTTCGATCCTAAGTCAGTAAGATCTTACTATTACGTCATTATCGTTAATTAAACTGGTCAAGTTTATGGTGATCATGGCAACTGATTGTTCATGTACCATAAAGGAATAAAAAAAAACCCCAGACATTATACAGGGTTATCTAACAATTAATTTGATCGTATATTGTTTAGAGAAGTGTTCAAAAAGCCCATTTATTCTAACTATGTTTACCTAACCGCCAATTAAACTGGTCAAGTGTATGGTGACCACGGCAAAGTCATTGTACATGTGCCATAAAGGAAATAAGAAACAGACGTTCTACTTTTATCGGAGCCCAATCTAAATGTGCTGTCTTACCCTTTTTATAAGTTTACTTCCAAATTCATAAAGTAATGGTAAAGTAATGCATTATAATTCGCCCCCAAAGCTGGTGTCAATTCGTTTATAAACCATGAATAATTACTTGTTTATTGTCCTTTTTCGATAAATGTGATGATACGATAAGCGATGGGAATATTTTCTGGTCTTCCTTTTTCTAAAGAAAAAATCCTACAATTTATATATTTATCATTTTCATTTACAGCTATGAATGTTGCGAGCTCCACCTTCTTCTCTAAATCTCCTTGATTTTTTGCCCCATATTTAATTAATATTTTCCAGTTTTAAAGCACACAATCTTATGTTTTCACGTAATTTTGGAGGAGAGGAGGGTTTTGAGATCCCTCAATATATATACAGGTTGTAAATTCTTCAGGAAAAACAAACGCTATGGGTCAAATATAATAGTGCATTTAGAAAGATCTTGTCATGAGTAAAACACATGATTGTGTAATATGAAAGTCTCAAATCTTCCCTTTCAAAAAATATGACCAAGGTTAAAGTTTTAAAGCCTAAAGACGGACAGACGATTACGATAAATTAATATCTCCTAACTTTTGCGAAAGTGGGGGACAAATACTTATACATGAACAAAATAATTATGATTAATCTTGTATCAAAATAAAACCAAACATTTTTACTTTAAATTTGAAGGTTTCAAAAATAACTTCATTATTTCAATTTGTTTTTCTAATTTGCATTGTTACATGTTTTACTACTTAATCATTTCCTGATAATTCTGGCCATAGAATTTGTCTCGTTGTAGGATAAAGTGCTTTTTCGACATGTCCTAAAGGTAAGCAAAGGTTTGTATTCAAGCAATTAGGAGAAAACAACCACCCAGATTTATCCCCTCCTGAACATCCGTAAACATTCACTCCATTTGCTTCAAAATCTTCATTATCAATTAAATCCGCAATGCTTGCGGTGGGTAGGTTATCAAAACCGTTACCAAGGTAATTATTGGTACTTCCACTGAATGAATCAAGTCGCAATGTCCAGGTCGTTGGATCTTTGACCAAAAAAGATCCATAATGTATCGAATCGTTGTTTCCATTTTCAAGCTTTATGTTGATTTCCAGTTTGTAGTTACTGATCGTGTTTGTTAGATAGAACATATTTTGTAGTCCTATCCAATGATCACACGATACATCCTGCCCAAATCCACTGATGTAATCCGTCATAGGAAGGTTCCAGTCGTCAATGCCACAGTTCCCGCCATGCTCCATGATGCGTGTAAAAACCCCTTCTGGCTTCACGTCACAATAGACTGAAATTGGCGTCGGTGCTCCGGATGGAATAATTGTGTAGACATTACTCACTGGTGGACCATCACCCAAAACATTGGAACAGTCTGAAAATACAAGTAAAATAAATTGACTAAAATCAAGGGTAGGGGTTTAAACATTTTTGTGTGTTTCTGAGAGGGAATGAGAGACGGAAGCGGTTTCTTATTTACCTCCATTCCATGGATAATTAGGGTCGTACAAAACTGTTGTCATTGGCAGTGACATCGTCTCCAAGGTAACAGATTGTGATGTCGGTATACCATCAAGCTAAGTAAAACATTGAATTTGAAAATTGTGTGATATCTTTTTACAGTTATATTAAAATATTGTACATGCACTTTGATACTCTGTGTATAAATTATATTTTTTGTATATATTTTTAAAGCAAAAATTCGTTCTTATGTGTTCGGATAGCTATTTTTATTACCTTTTGTATAAATGTGCAATTGGCAGCATCCAAAAAATCTCCACATGATACTGAATTCAAAATTTCCACATATTGGCAAAACGTTCCTGATTCATTCTTACAAAAATTAATCCCGTCACATCTTGTTTCCTCAAAGCATTGCAACGTGCAGCGGATCGTTCTATCAGAGAGACCAATATTTAAGAGCAATTCCTTAACTTTAGATGACAATCCAAGAATATTATTTTTTCCACATGTTTCGACCTTTTCATAATAGAATTCCCGAAAATACTGTGCATTAACTTGAACAATCATAGAAACCCAGACGCACATAAAAAGTGCCCTCACTGTCCTCATTGCTGATCCGCTTCTAATATTGGAACGAAGAGTAATTTTAAAACGGAACTGACGTTCATGAATAAAAAAATCATTTGAAGCCTCGATCCGCAAGCTTCACAGAATAAAGAAAAAATCGACATGTTTTACTCATAAACCTTGATGATGAATCTTTTGTTCAACGAAAAGTAACATCTTGACAAAAGTGTCGCAGTTTGATAATTGTCACATTTAGAACTTCAAAAATCCTTTTGACTAACTTTAAAGTTTTTTTCAGATAAAAGCGCTTTATATTAAGGAACAATGTTTCGGAGTTTATTTTTGGATATGGTCAATGAAGTTTTTTTAAACAATTTGTTGAATTTGAATAACCATATCTATATTGGATTCCGAAACTTCATAAAAATCCTTACAAACAAAGATTCATAGCGGATTCTAGTAAATGTTCAACCAAGCCTCTTTCATTAGTCCGCACTCACATATTAGCACTAGTGAAAGAGAAACGTCAAGAGTACTTTGCAACAACATATTCAAGAAGTGATGTAATTCATATATTGATACTTAAGAATTACAAGAAACGTTTGGAAAATTTGAAATCACAGGATTTTTTCAAAATTATCTTTATTTTCCCCACGATTAAAGTCCAGGCTTTTTTATATCAATTACAGCGGCTTTTTCAATAAAAATGGAACTCTTAAATTCACTTACTTTGCATTGGTCATTTGCAAAATTCGTTTGACATAAACATTCTGATTGTAAACAGAAGAGGGACATTTTGCTTGAAAAAGACGTTAATAGTAATCTAACAGCCAAGCTCCAGGATACAAGATATGACTTTAACTTTTCAATCGTCAACTTCCCTTACTTATGCAGCAATATACCTTCATCACCTGCATACGGAGTTTATGTATCTCAGTTGATTCGATACGCAAGAGCTTGTTCCACGTATGTACAATTTTTAAAACAAGGTAAGTTATTGACAACTGAATTGCTGAAACAAGAATATCAGCAGTCTCGTTTAAAGTCGTCAATTCGTACATAAAAGACTTAGTGCTATTTTGTTTTGTTTATGGACTTTATAGCAAGAATAACGTGTTCGTAATCTCCATATATTTCATGGACTAAAAAAATCTTAATATCTGTCGTGTTGTCTTTTTTAATTAATATCCAGTTAAACGACGAAAGTTATAGTAATGGAAAAATCTGGATGACAAAGACATTAATAAGTGTTGCATTATGATACAGACATGATATGCAGACTGCAGTTGCAAACGCATTGTCTATAAAAGAAGGAAAACTCGACATTTGAAAATGTAATAGTACATTTATTTTTTTTTATATCATCATATTTAAAATGAAATAAAATAAATGAGCTGCAATTTTTTAGAATTTTATTTTGCCAATTAAGTGTGCTGTTACGATAGATCTGTGTATAATCTTAACTTTTTCATGATCAATTAGACTAAATAAAATATTCAGAAGAAACTTTTAAGACATCTGTACAAGGGAATGTATAGTATTTTAAGAAATCAATATTGTACAGGACGACAACAATGTAATTTTGCATTATTAAAAATTCATCGCAAATTCGAGCAACGGAAGGTTATTAATGATCTTCTTTCCTCTCATGGAAGTAGGTAATTAGAATATTGCCCAACAATATTTACTAGGGATGTCAACGAATATTCGAATATTCATTCAATGAGTTGATATTCGAATATATTAATTTTATGATTCGAATATTCGTTTTAAAATGTAAAGGCAGTAAAAAGAAAAAAAAAACCTGGCAAATTCATTTAGAAATTGAATCAAGTTTGTACAAAATTAAAAGACACCGACCTCTTGGATTACTGAGCATCTTAAAGGTGTAAAGAGTGTATCTATTAGAGTATAATTTATTCATTTGTTTCTCTTAATTAGTGGTAGTACTTGTTGTGTTCAGTACTTACAATCAGCTTGTATTGTTGTAAGGACACAGTTTTACAGTAATCAAATGGATCCCTTGTTTATATAAACATAATTAAAAATCATTATCATGAAATTAATTAACCAAAATTAATTTGTTTTTTAATATTCCTCTGTTAGATAATTGGTATATTTGTAGTAGTTATTAATGCATACTTTAGTAAGACGATCAATTAATCTGAAATATACTAAAGAATCTTTTGAATTAAAAAAAACTTACATTTTAGATGTATACTCTTCATATATTTGATAATTAGAAAAGAAAATAATTGAGGTGAATTTACCAAGCTCTACATGAGTTCTTATTTAAAAAAAAAATGGCATAAAACCTATTCTGCTTGACAGGAGAGTGAAGATATATACTTTATAATGCAAGTTGTATTTATTTCTGTTGATTATTCGAATATCAATTACTGACAATTTTGACATCCCTAATATTTACACATTAAATTTGCAGCTTATATTGCTTATGTAACAGAGCTGAGCTAGAATAATAGACAAGCTGATGTAATTTAAAGAGATTTTAATTTGATTACATACTATCACGAAGTTCACAAATAATAAAGTCACAAAGTTCGTAGAACGTTAATAATGATCGTATAGTGTTTTTGATAGTGTTTCAAGTCACTTATCTATCCGAGTTCAGGGAAGGCGTCAAAGTTAGTGATCTAGTAACATTCTCAGTTCCTTTCTGTCTCTATCTATCTTTCTCCAGCCTGCACCTCCTTTATATAGCAGTGTCCAGTTTCCAAGGTGTTTGTGTGTAGTTACAAGTGTCCAAGCAAACTGCTGGTCAGAGTTTTTATCTCACTGATCCTATTTGACCGCTTGAGGGATGATTTGGACTCAAAGTTAGAGTGGTCAAGGAAAGGCAGGATAAGTTATAGATCTACTTCTAACTATAATAAGTCTTAATGGATTAGGATGATCGTCTTTTAGCCAGAAATAGAGATGTTTGAATAGATGAAAATCGGACAAATAAGATGATCCGATATCCCAGTCTCCTAATGGATAAGAGTTATCCAGTAATCCCGTCTATGGAATGGTCAGACTTTGGTATTTTTAGTATTAAATCCATAATCCGATTTAATTGAAGTATCACATTTAAATGACTTGGTTCTTAAGACAAATACAGGGATTATGGTGCTCTCGGACACTCGTTATTCATTAAGATAATATTATTATGAAAGACTTAGATATAGTATAACAAATAAATAATGTATTGCATATTGCATATAAACATTATAAACATCTTTATCAACATTATTGTATATGTCAGTTGTGTTATACTTAGAAAAACAATTTTATACTTTTTAGCTAATCTTGCCAAACACCAAGGCATTTACAACAAGTGTCAAATTAAAATATTCAATTATAAAACATGAAACATTCATATAATACAAGTAATTTACCTTTTGATTGTTATTGTTTTGTTATATGGCTACAAAATATTGGGATTTGAAAATAATTCTACACAACTTATTCTCATTTCAATGTAGCAGTTTTCCCCAGAAAGATGTCATTCGTTAATATATATAGATTTATTTTTTTGCACCTGTGAAATACAGGTGTATAAACATTAATTAAAATAAATCATAGATATCTTGTATAGGTAGCGTGAATCCTAATAATACATGTAGATATTTATAAATAGCTAAGGTGGCTGAATCCCCTCAGTTAACTTTCTGAGGACCTGGCAGGTTAAATATATACAAATATATGATTGAGCAATATATACAAACATTTACATTACATATGTTTTTTCCATATAAAATGAATGGAAATCATTGCATTCAAAATACAATAATACAGACAGGGGTGCCAAGAGGTTAAAGCATGCGTTTTAGTTTGACGTCATAATTGTTGAACGCCCAGGAAGTACAGCGTCACAAGCCAGAATAAAAAAAATCAGGCTCAAATTGACCAGAAGCTGTAACGTTGGCTGATCCATTAGCTGTAGCTTACACGAAGGATAATTAATATGTTTTGAATAGAAATCACATTTGCAGTTAAGGTAGAAAGTTTAAAATTGTAAATATACCGTATATACTCGCCTATAAGTCGGTATTTTAGGATTTAAATATTGGTCTAAAACTCTATGTCCGACATATAGGCGAGTCATAAAGAGATTGGATTTTTCTGGATGCTAAAATGTAGTATCTTATTTGCATTTCTGATGATTATTAAAGACAATATATGGATATATAAGATAATTTATGTATTTTTAGATTTTATATAAAGTACTAGTGTTTCCAGTTTTTAATGATTTTATTTGTATCTTAATTGAGCATTGCCTTTATATTTAATAATTCAAGATTATTTTTCAATTTCAATTCGAAAAATATTAATTAAAACCAAGTTTAAACATCAATGGATTTACTTGAAATTCTTTCATAAAACATGTACAGAAAAATTAAAGTGATGCTGTGCAAACAATTTTTCATAAACGTGCGTTACTCAATTTGTTTGCTACAGCAGTTATAGGCTATATCTTTCAAAAAAATAATGCTCATTGTTTAAATAAATGACTACTGCA